GAGTCAGTTAAGCCAGTTAGAAAGAGAGAGAGAGAGAAGAGGAAGAGAGAGGTTTGCAGAGAGAGAGAGATAAAGAGTGAGAACTGAAACTAATAAAGATAAGCTGGTTAAAGTGAATAAACATAACAGGAGGTGATTGAATGTGTGGCAGAATATATGATATTTCAATAATTTTGATTCTATGAAATGAATAAAGAACATCTGTGATCCTGATTTAATCTAGTTACCCTAATATCCTTTAATAAACAAGTTCTGTTGTTGGCAGCCAGTATCAGACTAAAGTCCCTTACAGCGTGGATAAAGAAATCCACTGGTGACAGCGAAAGAAAGAGGGAATGTTAGCAGCATGAGCACTTTGGGTTGAGAAAAAGAAAACAGGGGCATGGGGTGAACGTGACAGATGCATTTATTTTAATAGAAATAAATTGTGGAACTAGTAATATTTTTCTTTCAATGTGCTTTTGTCCTTATAAACTGAACCATGTTTTCTTCCACAGTAATTTGCACTGTTTCATTTTGCTTTTCTTACCTGCAATGAAAAACCAAGGTAGCAGGGCACCACCTGAATTGAACAGTTGGTCACTTATTGACCTGGAGGTACTGGCAGGACAGTGATACTTTCATTGGTTAGTAGGTTCCTTGTTGTTTGTAGGCATTACTCTACAACCATGTATGCACTGGTGTATGTAGGAATATGCTCAGCATTATCTTGATGCATCATTTTAAAAATGCAAAAGAATCATATGTGTTGAACCCAGAATTGGTCACACCTACAGTAGTTTCACTGAAATCAATAGGACTTAGTCATGACTTTCAGTCCTGTTGATTTCAGTGGATCTACACTAAATAGCACCATTTTGGGTCCATACATGAGAAGCCCCCATGATAATTTGTTGTCCTGATATGTGATTGGTGCAGTTAAATTAGGAAATTTTATTACTGATTTATTATATGTTTATACCATGTTATTTTGATTTCTTTGCTGCCCAGAATAGTGGTCTTGCCAGTAGTTGGTCAGGACAAAAATACAAATACAATAAAATAAAAGAAATGAAAATTTAAAATGGCCCCATTATTTAAGACAATATTGATCTTTAACAATATTTTTCATATTATATAGTGTCTTGCTCAGTGGAATGGCCCATCTTTTGAATGCAGAAAGTAATAGATGTAGTGCTTGGTACCTCTAACTATGGTTGAGAAGGAACTTGGTCTAAAGCTGGAAAGCCACTACCATTCTGAGTAGAGACTACAGAACTAGATGGACCAATGGTCTAACCCAGCAGTTTTCTGTGTTCACTAATTAAGGTCCAAGACTCCTTACAGATTCTAATAGCAGATGCTTTTCTTTCCTCAGTTTTTTCAACACTTATTCAATGCTTGACATCTCCTCAATACAGAAGTAGTAGGACAACTGGGCCAGTGGCGTACAGTTAACTAAGGTCCTATTGAATTTAGTTGGCTAATTGTATGCATCCATAGTTGTTTTACTTTATCATATCTTTTTTTTCAGCCCATACATACTTTCTATGGTATTCCTCCCAGTTCTATTGGTACATCTGCTGCACAGTCCTATACATGTCTTTCAGAAGTAGGTTCCATTGAGTATGATGGGAATTAGGTCTCCAGTAAATGAGTGCAAAATCGCAGCCTAAGGTTAAATGTCTTGGGGGAATATAAAAGCCAAAGGAAATGTTTAACTTAAATTGTTCTCCAGTGCTTTATCTTACGTTGTATATTTGTCTGTCAGCACACAATCGTGCAATGTACTTATCTTACGGATTGTCTTATCACTTATTAACTTGCCATGTTTTATAGAATTACTGTTATATGCTTTTAACAGATAAATGTCTGACTAAGAATTTATTATTCCTAATTGTGGCAAAAGCAAGTTTTCATACATCCCCACTGATATCCCCATTGGGTGAATTTATACTTCTCAGAATCTGGGAAAATCCCTTCCAGTGAATCACAACTTTCCCACTCACACCAAGAAGTAATTCACAGATGTTCACAGGGATATGCTTATACAATCCACTGGATTCATAGTATTTTTTTCACATTCAGTGAAGTGGTCTCAAAAGGTCCCAGTATTGAGCCGATCTCTGCACCAGTCACTCCCAGCGTCATCTCCACAGGGCCACCATATCCTTGGAAGGTGGCTACAGATGGTGAAGGCAATAACCATGCCAGACTTAACTACTGGAGGTAGAGGTGGAGGAAGCAACAGGAGGGACTTGACCTAAAGTCCAAAGGGAGATGAACCTTCTGGAATGAACAAAGGTCAGGCAAGATACAGGAAGGAACTGGAAGAGAAAATGGAGACCCAAGTGCATAAAAAAGGGAGGGAGAAAGCAAGCGGGAAGAAGACTGGTGATGAGGAGGAGGAGGAGGGAAAGAACAGGATAAGGGGAGACCTGGGAGGAGGTGCCTGTGTGACTCCAATCTGAACCACCTGAAGAGATTCTGTAAGCCTCGGGTTTCAGCTGGCCTAGGAATACCATAATGCAAACAAGGTTCCAGCAACCTCCTGCTGATCCTACCCCAACACAGGTGTGCCTGTGGAAAAGGCAGAGAGAGTCCAGTCACCTGTGACTTGAAGTTGTGATGCAGACCATCCAGTGAATAACACCTTCCTCCCAAACAGAGGTCAATTGTGAGGACAGTTTTGAATCCTTAGTGACTCATAGGGAAGAGGGAAGTAATCCCTCCCCATCTTTGGACATTGAGGCTGTCCGGAATTGGGTTGGCTTGGGTGGACCAAAAGAAGGCTTAAGTAATTGTAATGGTCTGGAGTTCATTGGTTGACTATGTTGAAAATATGTTTTGCATTCTGTCCTTGTGTCTGAACCAATGAGAGCTTTGACTCCCCCTTCCCCATGGAAGATCTAGGGGCACGCACATATACCTTTATTAAAATCTCTGCAGCCCTCATATGTGAGATATCCTCCTGCAAGAACACTCCACAGCCAGCCTTTAAATTATCCTGTGGAAGGACCAGAGAGTTTTTGTCTCAACACAAATAACAGTTACAAGAGGGATTTAGACTGGGAACCAAGGGGGCGATCAAAGGTTAAATCTCCCCATTCCATTGACATCCCAATCTGAATTAGGGAGTTTTATGACTGTTAACTAAACAAACAATCATGTGTGATTATTGCCACATTCAGTTTGGTCTTGAGTGTACCAGTATAATAGAAATTTTCAAAAACCTGTTTACTATTTTGATACATTCATATGCAGGTCATGACTGAAAGATCCCCACTGCAAAATGTCCAGCTTGGTCCACAAGCTACCCATGCATACACTTCATACAACATCTCACATAGCCATCTTAAAATACCATTTGTTAGAAGCCTCTTAAATCCTTCAGGGCAAGGAAATGCAAACGGTAACCATCCCAATTCTCCTCAGTAAGCATACTACTCATTCTTACCAATGCACAAAAACTTTATGGATAACATTTCTGTTGTAGGTAAAAGCAAAATAGAAATAAAAAGTAGAAAAAGATAAAATTCAGCTACATTCCAAGATAAAGTGCAGAAGGAGAAAATGGAAATAAAATTGTATACCAAGAAATTATGGCATTTTAAAAATAATTTAGAAAGTATTCCATGCAATAAAAGTTTGTAATAAATAGTTTGTGGGACCGGCTATGGAAACCTGGATTTCTTTATAGTACAAGCTTAAACCAGATTTAGTCATCTTTGAAACAGACATACAGATGTTAATCAATTTAAACTAGTTCATAATTAATAAGCTCCCCTGATATCAGTTAAACTATATGCCCAAGGGCCTGTCTACATTACAGATTTAGAGGAGTTTGTTTCTGCCATGGCCTCATCCTATGGGATCCTGGAGTTTGTAGGTTCAGGGGGTGGGGCTGGGAATTAAGAATCCCATGCCAGAGAGCATGAATAACAGTAGAGCATCCTACGTAACTCACCAAACTACAGATCCCAAGATTCCATGGGATGGAGCCCTGGCTTTTAGGATGGACTCAAACTGTAATAGCTGTGTCATGTAGATAACAGTCTCAGAAACTAACACTCTGAGGGAGATAACATTTACCATTGTTGTGCTGTATGGAATTACTTACACTCTTGTTATCTCAACAGATGTTACACCTCCAGAGTTCTTTGTCCTCCTTTCTCTCCTACACAGAAAAACACAAGGAAGAGCACCATAGGCTACCAGTTGTTAAACCCATCAAATACATGTTAGCTACATTTAAATAAACAACAACTGAGGCTAGAGAGCACATAACTGAAACTGATAAGCACATGATGTGAGACAAAGACCATGATAGCTGGCCTCACCACCAATCAAATCACAAACGTTCATAGTTTTTACTTAAGACTGCTCATAGTGAAAAGACAAGAGACCAGCTTTATCCATCAGTCAATCAATCTTTTTCTCCCTTAAAACACTTTTGCAAATTAAGTCCAAATAGTTGAGATTTATGAAATCAAAGCTCCATCTACCGAAAGTCTTCCTTGAGAACTGAGCTACTCTTGAAACAGCTCATTCTTTTCATGGCCTGATCTAACCTTGAAATGGTGATTCTTGAAACAGAATACATATTTTTGTGATTTAGCTAATAACTTAGTCTGGGTTTTTTCCCCCCTTTATAATCCGATTTTGACCAAAAGCTCAACATGAATGCTTTTGATATGTCAAGAAAGCCTATTCTCCCCCAGGCATTCAGCTAGATAATTTACAAATTAAATGAAATGTTTGTGAAGTAGTGAGTGCATTAATCCTCCATGTGTGGTAACACCCCCCCCCTGTGTGCAATACATACAAATAATTAAACAAGATGTTGTTGACAGGTGCAAATAGTTCCTGAAGCCCCATGAGTTTGACACAGGGTAATCTTGGGAAATCCTGAATGTTTTTGACATCGGGCCAGCATGGGGCAAAACTAAATTACCAAATTTCAGATCCTTCCCAGAAATGCATGCTGAAATCCAAACAATGATTTGTCTGGTATGCTTATTTTGCAGCTTGCTTTCCTTTCCATTTATCTAACCAGCATTCACGTTTTGCAAAGTGCCTGTTAATAAGATTAGTAATTAAAAAGCTTGAATGGCAATTGGCAAGCATGTTGTCATTACAATTGTGTTGGCACTGTGTCTCCACCAAGACTTGAAGAGCACCTGAAGGAGTGAAGGCAAGGCACACTTTCCCGTATAACCCAAGAGCCCAAGAGCAGAGATGGAGAAAGCTAGGCCGTTGTGGGACAATCCCTTCCAGTTTGTGTTTGCCTGCATTTCCTATGCTGTGGGACTGGGGAATGTATGGCGTTTTCCTTATTTGTGTCAGATGCACGGAGGAGGTGAGTACACTTGAAGTTTCTTGAGCTGCCTCAGAATGTGGGTTCAGAAAGCAAGTGTCTTTACTTGGAAGCAAAATGGTGCCCTTCTGAATAATCTGGGATGGGGTTTCTCATATTGAAAAGAAACAAACAGTAGAGTGTGTCCAGGTTTGCTCATACTTAGATCAGATAAGTCTACTCTGACTAAAAAGGGATGCAACTCAGTTTCTGTGAGGTTTTAAGTAGATAAGGAAGATAAAGAATGTTGTTCTAAGTTCCTACTATCCTCCTTTCTTCCCATATATTTTCCCCTTCAACTGATCTCAATGGCTTTCTAGGCTCCAGGATGCAGATTGCAAACCCGCAGTCAAAGAGTTTAAGGCATTACAGTAGTTGTCATCATCATTGCTATATTTTTATTGTGACTGTGGGTAAAGAAGAATCATGACAAATTCCCAAGACAATGGTTGTTATTTGCAATTGGTTAGAAGCCAGTAATGTTTCTTATAAATGACTCCTGTGAGAAAATGGACTGCAGCAGAATCACAGCATGGCATAGGGTCCTTCTGTCCAGGCTAGACTTTTACTGTGCAATGCCTGCTTCAAACATGGAATTTTACAGGTGTTTCCTTATCATCTCTTGCATATTTTTTTTTCTCACCAGTAATGCTGCAGAGTGAACGATGGCATTGCTGTATAGTTTATTATAGTATAGTTTACTAGCATAGTGCAAGTCTCCATCTGTGATGTGGAAGCCAAGAATTGTTTTTATGCAGTGAAATGGTAATGAAACCTCACAAACAGGGTTCTGTGTCCTTACCCTTTAGGCCAGGATTGGGGAACCTAACCAGCTTAGCCAATTATTAAGGATGGCATGAATTGCATCCCCAGCTGGAAGGCCACGAATTGTTCACTTCTGCTTTAGGCCTTTCCCTTCAACTTAGTCCACATTCTTGTTTGCTTTCTGCCTTCCCCACAAAACCAGCACTTTTGGTTTGGTTTGTTAGCTGGTAGATTCTGGGAGATGCTCTCCAAAAATGTTACTTTTCCAATATTTGGAGACAGGGGTATGGTTTAAACCTACCCTCTGACCCTGCTGATTCTAGAATGCTAAAGGGAAGGATGCTGAACCCTAAATTGAATCCTACATTGGTGCTCTGATCTAGATCCCTACAACCAGGGGAGTTGGAAATTAGGTACTTTTGTTTTGTTCTATGGATCTGCTAAAATGCAGAGGGAGGCAGAATGAGGGGAGCCATTTTAAAGCTCTTGCCCAATGAGTGCTGACCAAACAACATGGCATCTCCCATTCATCACTTTGAAGGAAAACAAAATCCCCAAAGCTATCAGGTCTCATCATAGACCTCACACCCACATTGTGTGCTGTATGCCCTTGAGAGTCAACTGCTTCTGTTTGTATATTAACATGCTTTGATTTCACTATGCTTAAGTTTAACAGAATGTTGAGAGCATGTGGCAATATATTGGAACCCCCACTCTTTTTCTCAAAACACAGAACACATAAAGAAGAGCAATACCTCTCTTCATTGTGATCAGTAACTAACATTCCACTCAGAGGGAGCTAGAACACACTGACAAGCTTACCTACAAACTATGCAGCTCTGTGCTGGGTCCGTTCTTATGCTCCAAATAATCTAATATTGTAGTCCTGACCAATGGAACCCAGTTCCAGTTCTGTTGTTCACTTCAAAGGCATCCAGGTTATACTGTGCCCAGAGAAAGAGAAAATACTTTTGAAGATGTGGTCAGATCACTGTAACGTGACTCTTGGCATTCACTCTAAAGCACAGTGATGAACCAGCTATATTGATGTTTGGAACCACAGCATGATATCAGCAAGATGCATGATATCAAAAGCTAGCAAGGGGCCACTTGGGCCCCTGAGGCAGAAAATCATATAAGTCTTCCCCTTCACCATTTGGCAAGAAAAATACAAGTGTATAATAAATTAAATAGTGGACAATTTGTTACAAGTTTTATTTTTAAGCCCTATACAAATGTTATACCATTTATAATTTAATTAGATCCAAAATACTTGTGGAGGAGTCAAGTGTTTGTTTCACTTGACAGGAACACAGAATGCTTCCTGACCTCCCAAGTCCCGTCTAAGCTCAGTACTATCAACGCTAACTGGCAGCAGCTGCCCAGGATTTCAAGCAAGAATTTTTCCTCTCCCATCCTGGAGACACTGGAGACTGATCTTCTGCCTGCGAAGTGGATGCTCTACTGTTGAACTATTTAGGGAGGTCACACCTCTCAAAAAGATCTGAGATCGTGCATACAATCAACTCAGATGAGAGTGCAGAGGAGCCAGCAGTAGAGTTTCTTGGCAGATGAGGAGAAATTGGAGGTAGATCACTTGAGCAGAGATGAAGCTCAGAACAGCCCATCTTATCCTAGACCTCAGAAAGAACAATGTCTTGACGAGACCTGGGCAGAAATCATTTTTTCACACATTGTTAGAAATATGTGACTGGGTGTCTCGTCTAATTATGTTTTCAAGCAGCCAGTTAGAATGGGAGTAGAAATGGATGGAGATTATGGCCTAGGTGGAAGGGATTTACCTTGGTGCCATTTTTTCCTGTGTAAATCCCCTCCTTTTCGCAGAAAGTATTATTCCTCTTTGGAAAAACCACCTGCTGGGCTTCTATAGTTAGGGGCAATATCAACAGAGCTGGGTGATTTACATTTGGAAAGCAACTGAGGGGAAAACTAGCTCCTCGCAGCACTGTAGTTCCCAATCCAAAACAAGAAGCTTTGTGGCAGATTTTCAAAAAGAAGGTCAGAGATGATCCAGTCAGATGTATCCAGTGTTTTGTCTGTTTGGATGCCCAGTTCACAAGGGAAATAAATGACACTTGTACTGCCAGGTGTCTACAATGATGGACAGATGGATGTTCCCATTTCCTTTTGGCCTGATGTCATTAAAGGGTGCTGCTAAAATGTCAAGGCTGCCGTCTGCACGGAAGAGGTTACCTAACTGCTAAACAAAGGTTCTGTTAATAAAGGCCCAGGCAGGAGGTAGCAACAATAATTCCCACAGTAATTCCCTGATTATGGTTGAGCACTCCCTTCACCTTCCTTGCATCAACTGCTGTACAAACGGTCTTCATTTTCAATACTAACAAGTCCCCTCTTTAAGGAATGTTAATGCTGGAGATTAATACTAAATAATAGATATTTGTGTAAATATTTTGGCTTGCTCTGGAAAAGAAACTCGGAAAGGCTGCACACATAAGCCTGTTTTTTATTTAGTCAGCAAGCTGCTCCAAGGCAATTCTAAAGTCAAATACTGTATAGGAGTTTGGACTGGCAGAAAGTTTTCCTTAAGACTATGCTACACATGAAATGTGCTGGGAGGGATGTTTCACCAAAAACAGTGTCTCTGAAGATAGTTTTACCCAACATTTTGGACAATATAACCCACACCTAATGCCACCCTATGGCAAATTTCCATATCATTTTAAATAGATTGGATCCAGATTTAATCATAAAGTACCTCTGTTGAGATCAGTGGGTCTTATCAAGATAAATTAAGGTCTATACTAGATCATAAAGTTAGAACATATTTAAAAGTGGAGCTCTCTGAAGTGACAAAGATAATTAACTGTCCTGGCACAAACTTCTTTCATTCCATATTTCAAAAAGTAGGCTTACTTTTGTTTTCTGATTGGTCCTCAAGATGGAAACAAGGGCTTCATTTGCAAGTCAAATTGCACCTTTCAGGAATGGCGTGACTGGAAGGGAAATGTTGCATTAGTGTCTCCTTCATCTATGGTTTGAGCCTCAGATTAGCATCTGTGTGTCTAACAGTTCTGAGAGATTTCGTAGACAACATGCACTTGAAATAGAGTAAATAAAACCATTTCAGAAATTTTGGTTACGTATACTCTGCAATTATTCAAGATTTGGTATGTCTCTGGGCTGTCATTGTCAAAGCTGTCACTAGGACAAGGTGATGGGGACTTTGGCCCATGGTGCTGATATTAGAGGGCATGGACATTTGCTGCTGGAACCTGCCAGTTGGTTTTTGCTGCTAGAAGGCCACATGTTGCCTCCAGCCTCTCCTCCTTGGTGAGAAGGAAACACAAAACAGGGTGGAACCAATATGGCTGCCATACACGCAAAGCCAAGCATGTGCTCTCCATTCCTCTGTCCTCTCCCTGGATATATCACTCTCATACATCCCAGGCTTCATCAATAGGACAACAAAGTCAGAATTGCTGACTACTGCTGGGGGTGGGGTTCAAAGAGGATGCTTGAGTGCGTATTCCCAATCACAGCAAAGCCGCATGGACAAAGGTTTGATCCCATTATTTTGTAGGGAGATAAGTACAGAAGTCTATAGATGATCCCCTCCCCAATCCCTGACAGTTACATTTTATTGTCCAAGAAGTCCAGATTGCTATGAACCCCATCACAGTCCTGTAAATTAGTCTATTGTGTTGGTCTAAGACCACTCAGTGGGTTTTGTGTCTGGGCACAATTTTACATCTGGTCACTATGATCCATATGGCGCACGGCTAGCCTCAAATATTTTGCTTTTGAACCTGCAAGAGCTAATGGTGCACATGCCACACATTATCAAAGTGCATAGTCCCCCATACCTAAGCCAAAAAGCTAAAAATAGAAATAAAATCTACAATCTGAGGCAGTAGAAGTGCAACATGAGCAAGAATTTGCAACCATTTCATAGACTTCAAATGAGTTCTTGACTGCCTCATTCTGCCTAATGGTAAGGCTGGCCCAGTTACACCAACCAGGCTTTCAATGACTGAAATCCTGGTGTTTAGCTTCCTAAGTCATAACTAGAGTAGGATTATTAAATGAATAGAATTTATGGATAAGCTGACTCACCAGATTCCCACCAATCTAAATTGGCTAGTGTAAATAGTTTCTCCGTGCCCTTATTGTCTACAACATTGGGAAGATAAATACTCATCAGTTATTATTCATGAAACCAGCTTTATATATGTTTCAAGCAACAGGATGTCAGCCACTACATGCTAGCTGAAACCCTATTTTTTCCTAGCTTCTGAGCTGGTTTCACGACTAGCTCACAATGACATTTATCATCCTTCTGTTAAAATGACATTTCATAGCTGCTGTTCTACCATAAATACTCAAGCAGTATTTTTAGTATGAAGATGAAATGACAGGGGAAGTGTGGCCAGTGTACTTTCGGTAACTGCTAAAGAAGCAGAAACTAGTTTTAAATATTGGAAGAAAGGTGATGCAAGGAGGCAGGGGCAGCAGAGTATGATAGTAAAATAGAGCCCTCACCAACTTGCATACTGGTTATCAGATCTCATTCTGAATTTCTGCTGGACTTGAGTTGCCCTTGCCAAAAGACCTCGGTGAGATGACTGTCCCAGGCAGTGAATGAATGTTTCTTAAAAGGAGTGGGCATAATGATATGGATCTCATGTCCTGCCCTAGGGTCACTAAGCTAACCTGATATCATCAGCTGCAGTGAAGGACGTTGTCCCATCACTCATGTTGAGGTAAGACTCAACAAATAGTCTCGTTAGATGGGTGGAGACCACTTCTTGTTTTTTGGCTCAGGCAACCGAGCATCTTCGTCCAGACCTGAAATGAAAGATTTGCCTACCTACTTTAGCATCTGGGGAGGCAAAGGGGCAAAAGGCTTAAGCTTTGCCTCCAAAATAGCAAACCACAGCTCAGTCTTCCCACTTATATTTATCCATTGAAAAGTTCAACTGATTTAAGTCAGGCTTACTGCTGAAGTATCAGTATGCATTTCAGAGTGCCACACCAGTTTTGCTCTTTTCTCTCTTCCCTTGGTTACATTTTAATGCTTTTTATTGCAATTAGTCATCCTTTAACAGTTGCTCCACCTGAACTGTGTGAATGACCCTCCTTCATCAAATCTGGAGTATGGAATTATTTACAGAGAATGTATCTGGGATGGCCAGCCCAAAGAGGCTTCTTTCACAGGCTTACAATCTAATAGAAACAAGGTTGGATCCAGCCTTTTAATCCAATTTAACTTGAATTAAATGCAAATTTAGTTAATAATGATGAAGAGCCACTAATTTCAGTCGCTATACTCTAGGTATAACTAAGCCTGGATCCAACTTAACACATACAAGGAACAACAGAAACAGAAGAAAGAGGGAAGCAAGCAAATCTTTTGGTAATTTTTTCATTGCTTGAAAAAACAAAACAAAACACTGCCTTCATATAGAGAAAAGAATAACATAAAACTTGAAAAGTCCTGTCAAATGCCTATAACATGCCTAAAACGCCCAGTGAAAAATAACTGAAAAGTAATGGCAAAGCATTATTACAGCAAGAACGTAACATTCTTATTCACTGGAATTTAACAGTGTTATACCTTTTCTAGCAATGGAGGTAATCCATTGTAGAAAAGGGGGTTCATAGCTACGAGTAATTTTTAAAGAGGTAGCCATGTTAATATTTTCCAGTTAAGACTGCAGAGAGCTTCACAGGCATAAATCACTCACTGGAATTCCTACCAGTGGTCAACCCCAAAGTTGAAGGATTCAGATTCAGACATAAAATGATAAAATTGTGTAGTAAAATCTGGTGAATTTCAGGAATTTTAACTGAATTAACTGGAAACTGATTTAAGTAAACAAAATCAGAACAACACAAAAGCAATAATTTACTGAAATGTACTTTAAATCTGGTGCATGCTACTGACCAAAATATGTCTTCCCTTATTTAAGACAAACACATTACTCAGACTTAACTGTTTCAGATCATTGGGTGCATTAGTCCATGTGGGACATTAGGTGGAGAACTTGTCCTTGTTCATCTAGAGTCATCAGACTCTAGACATGAATGTAGCTATCTATTGTTGATGGGTATGGATCAACTCTGTCCAAGTTTGGAATGGAAATGCATGCTGCCTTCAGGCCTAGGGGGAACTATCAAAAGCCAACTTCATTAATGGATCTTCCCATCAAAATCCAGACAGACTTGGAAGGAGGAGAGGAAGAACCCTGACAGTCCTCGCCTAAAGATCCGCCTTACGAATCCACAGCATCTGAAATTATGCTGGAGAAGGAAAAAACAGTCCCTTTCAAAGGGTAAAGAAGATGATGATGAGAGCACACAGCCTTTACCCTTGGGGTAAAAATCACTCATGAACATGACTGTGCTGTCTGCCAGCAAACACGGGTTCGAAAACACACGTGTAAGCCTGGACAGAGAGCAATCAGGAGTTTGCACATGCTAAAATGGGCTGAGTGAGTCCAACTCAGCTAGCCATGCTACAACACTCC